TTGATTTCAAGCACAGGATCAATTCAATTAACGTTGTGGCGGGCTCAAGCGACGCGACGTTCACTTAATCTGATAATACTTATTGTGGACGTCCCACCGACAAACATGCGTCGCCTCGTTAGTCTTTTATTGTCCACTTACTACGTTATTTATACCCTATTGAAGTACAATCAATGTTCCCTTGCCTGGGAATATATACATTTCGAGCATTGATAAACCCACACATAGAGAATACTAAGCTCTGTAATTATTCTGAGTAGTGCTAAAGTTGTAATTTTAAACAACGCGTATTATAAATGCAATAAAGTTTGCATTCGGGGTATGGGGAGGGCGGTTCGTATCTCACAGTAAAATATCGCATGCGGACATTGCGGTGATTGTTGCCGCCTCAGATACGGAACAGTGTTTTCAAATAAAATTATGATCTTAATGCTTGAAGTAACATATCACTGTAGTTAAAATAATTGGCTAGAGTAGTTTTTAAATAAGTTTTTGATGCATAAAGGATGATGTAAGCTTTAATTTATGTCAAGTTATAACTCACACGACATTAGTTGAAATCTTAACTGCAATTACGGCCTTTTACTAGCTAAAATAATATGGAAATTATAGGTCTAACTTACGGTTACCGGCGTATGCCCCACACGTTATTAAATCAGCCCAGCTGTTCCGGAGATTATCCGGAACAAACTATGTTTTCCGGACAGGCAGACCGATAAAAATTTTAGAATTTTGAAATACGTATGTATGTGTACGAAAATATATTTCTCATTTTGCCATACTACACTAGACACTCCAATTTTACTAAATGTTATATATTATTTTATAAACAAATTCAGTATTTTTAATTTGTTTCGTTGTGTCTGCTAACCTTGTAACGATTATCGAAATTCCAAGTAGAGGAACTAATTTTGTGAGCATCAATGTCTTGTTATCAATATTGAGCATGATAGAGAATTTCGCCTACAAAAAGTAGTGAACACTTTACTTTGTATTTTTAATGAAATTCTTTCTGCGAAGCGATCGTACGCTTCACTGGACAATTAAAACAACCTGGAATTTCATGAAAACGTATTTAATATAATAGAATTCTAGAAATTATCAAACTGATATGTATCTATATATTGTGTATATATAATAATATTAAGGTAATAGTTTTATTTTGCTTATGTTTGTTAGCATGTGTCGCCGCTCGCCGCTCGCTGCTCGCCGCTCGCTGCTTGTAACATCACACACAATGCTCGTGGCGAGATCTGTTGTCTCCGTCTGCTCTCCTATTTTATGAATTTATAACAGTGTGTATGTAAATAAGTGAACAACATCAAATAGCTTCGTTGACAAAAACACGGAAATCAGGAACATACGGATTCATATTTGTTTTTCTCACTTCATATTGACGTGCAAGTTATAGTGTAGCATAAACAATTAAGTATTTTTGCAAAAAAATACGAGAAACAGATATTACAATAATAATACTTTTTTTATCCCAACTTAGAAAAAACATGAAAAACTTAGAAAAATCAGATTTTTCTAGTCATTAGTGACTACTAATCGCTTTCAGACTAACGATTTGGCGTCTTGGCCTATGCTCGGTGGGTGCCGGCGATTTTTCTCAAACCGGAACAGAACAACATGATATTTTTTACAATAATTTATTTTCTTAATTCAACTCATCCAACATCTATTACATATCTGAGATCAAACAAAGAAGGTACAGCTACGTAACTTCAAAAGAAATGCAATATCTGTCATTGTCAATTTCACGAGTAACTTTTCTGTTGGTTGTTGTAAAAGTGCAGTTGAAATACTTTTCAAGAAGGAAGGGAAGGTATGATATGAGTTTCAATTGCGGCCCACGCCCCCGCCTCTACTTTTACATACTTTACCTTCCTTATGCTTTATTTTATAGTTTTCATTCTTACCTGAACTTTAATAAATTAAACTTAGTCTATATATTGGTATCGTGTACTTCAGGATTCCTTTTTAACGTAATTCGAAAAAAATGTAATTGCCGAAGCGACGATAGCGCGCTGTCTCCGGAGAGGGAGTGCTGGGACGATTCATCTGGGGCAGTGCGCGAAGTGCGGGACGCTGGGCGCGGGGCTCAGACTGCAGGGATTCACGTGAATGTGACACGCGAGGCCCGACGCCGACATGTCACCGGCGGCGTGTTGCGGCGTGTCGCTGCCGCTATCAGCTCTCACGCCGCCGCCGCGCCGCTCGTGTTTGTGTAACTCTGCCGCAATAAATATTTAAACGTCCGATTTGTTTGCTTTAATTTACTCAGATTAAATGATTATTTTGATGATATTTGTGCTCATCATGTCTAAACGCTACTTTGAGTGACGTTGACATTTTTTTGAAACTTATATTCTTTTTTTTAATATTTTTTACTTATATGTAAGTATAATAAGTTATTTTCAATCATATAATCACTCCTAACTCAGGATAGGCTCCGAGCCCCTCGGTGGGGACGTACAGTGAGCTGATGATGATGATTTTCTCGATATTCCACAGTCTACTTAATTAATTAATACTAATAATAATAAAAGTTAATCCGCGCACGACATCTTTAATAAAATACATCTCATTTGTCATTCGATTTGTTCTATTTTAAAATACTTATTACAAGGCAAAGATTCCTTGAGGCGGAATCGTGAAGTCGTTTGATAGTCCTATTTCCTTGTAAATGGACTGGCTAATGCGGAAATAGAACCTCACCTCACCTCACCTAACCTCACCTCACCTCACCTCACCTCACCTCGCCGCTGACTTCGCAAAATTGCACCACAAAGATAATTTCACGACATACGAGTATTACTCAGATTTACTGTGAAGTATTTAATGTTATTTCAATTTGTTGTACAGATTTTGTATATATATTATAAATATATATATATATATATTAGTAATAACAAGCCAAACGATAGCTTTTTCCTAAAGCTATGCAAATATTTAAAAATCCTTTGCAAAATTATCTTAAAATAGTTTTAATTGAATAATAATGAACTCGCTTCAAGTGACACCTTGTTATTAACAAAGTAAATTAGTCAAAGGTTCTGAAAAGAAAAATATCAAAGTGCTGAGAAAACAGAAAAATTCTTTATTGAAAATAGTTTTCTTGAGAGCACAACAACTAATTTGCGTCTTCGTTATTTTTTATTTTATTTTTGCTCGCCACTAACTGTAACAACTTCTAGGAATATTTTAAATATAAGGTCGTGTTAATTCTTTTAAATAAGAATTGATTTTCGTGCGTACTTTTGTACTAAGTTAAAGAGATATTTATCTATCAAATATTAAATAACGATACGACAAACAAACAGTAAACTTCAATGTAATGCCATGGATTTCGCTAGGAATGACATTTAATGCGATATAATAACAATTTGCAAGCGATTTTATGTTGTTGTTGCAAACTAATTTGCTGTGTAATATGTCAGTCAGTAGGAAGTAAACCACGTGGATATATTAATGTGGGAGCAGTGGGAGTGTTGTCAGATATTTCAGCTTTATTGTGCCGTTAATGTCCTCTAGCGGATGTTCAGTTCAGTTTAGAACACATCGCCGCTCACGTTTATAACATACAAGCAACTCATTAAAACAATAAAAATTAAACAAATTAAACTCTGCAATACACTTCTTGTTCACAAACACACCAGACACTTTCACATACAAATCTATTGCGATCTAAAGCTACAAAATTATAAAACTGTAATATTTATTACAGTTATTAGATTTTTAGATAATTTTACTTTGGAAAAAACATCTAACATTTAATCGACTCTTGTGTATCCTCTTTAGGAAATTGTTAATTAAATCCAATGACCGATCGTCTACAAAGTTTTAATTGCATGTATCGAAGTAATAGAGAAAAAACTAATGATATGGAAATTTTACATCAACTGAACTATCTTTATTCTCACTCACATTTAAATAAATTTTGGATTAAACAATCGTACAAAGAAATTAAGTGCAATAATTGTTGCATCCTTTCATGTACTTCTGTTTTAAAATAACATTAAAAATAAAAAGCTGAGGAAATAAATGTAGTGACAATGATAATTTACCACTTGACTTAGATTATTTTTGCTCGTCGCGTTGGGAGGTGGTGTGGTGGCGGTGGCGGTGGCGATGTCTTACCATCTAAACGTACAGAAAAGATGATTGTCTGTAATTGTCGTGTAATTTGTTATACATATTTAAGAATTAGTTGAATTTCTATGAATCTCAATACAATGCTATTTGTTTATGTGCTTGCTGCAAGCACGATAGCCACTTATGAATAATTTAAAGCGTGCTCTCTACAACAAGATTATAGAAGCAACGCGGCAGCGCGGAAGACGACGACCAATCCATAGTGATTAAGCCTTAGTATTATCATACTTACATTTTAGACATAGTTATTTTTGTTAATTGAAATTTCACATTTTACGGAGATCTAAGAAAATACAATCATGAATAAAAGAGATAGTGATTTGATGTGAATACAAACATCGTGTTAGTGTGAGTGAGTCGCGGCAAATAAACAGTGGCTCAGCTCGGGTTTCCTCTGTTAATGAACTAATCAAAAAATTCTTTCACATGCGATCAGACACGCGCTGAACTTCCTCGTCGCGTTGTCGTGCATTATGTATTACCTAACACAGCCTCTCATGTCTGTATAAGCTCAAGATTCAATAAAGAGGCGTTATATTGAGATAAAATGTGTCTCGCAACGACGTTACTTGTTGTACCATCTTTTGATTACATCTCACTCTTTTGTTTCCTGCACCAGTAGATACTCCAGCAGTCTTTCACCGTCGCCTGTTCTGAACACCCGCAACACCATCGCACTTACCTAACTGCTGTCATTCTCTGGGACTGGTACTCTTATGGTGTTCTAATATTGTACTTAAAACATTTGGAAAATCTAAAACAGGTGCTAAGAAAAAATAATATAATACCGATGGTAGATTAGCAATATAATTTTATTGAAACATTATGACATTCTGTGATTTTTTATTTACACGATATGTACATTTTTACAACAATATCTTTTAATAATTGTATACAAAGGGTAAACTTATTAACTATGTGATAAAAATCTATCTACATTAATAAATTCATCTTTACAACCCTAGGCCGAAACTGTGCTCGTTATACTCGTCCACGAGTTGCAATCACTCACAATTCCTACTCGGGTCTGCGAACATTTATATATCAACAGAAACACTTGTAACTTTACACCTAGGTGTGAAAAGTTCATCCACCTCACGAGGCCGCAGTCGTACAGTCTTTACGGTTTTAATCGATGGACACTATGAGAGTGTCCTCCTCGAGCACAGCACTCGAGAGCTCGCGACGAGGGCGAGAGGCCCGCACTCAGAGCCGCGAGTGCGACACGCCGTTGTGCGCTATGAGGGGCGTGAGGGTCGCAGGAGACGCCGCAGGTCGCACCTCCAGCGCCATCGCTTCGCTGGCCGCCGAACGCGACGTCACCGCGGTTGAGGCTTCGGAGCGCGAGCCGGCCGGGCAAATCGCGCGCGCCGCGCCGCCCGCACCGCCGCCGGCTGTCAGTCCGCGCGTCTCAGCCGCGGCTCGCGCCTGCGCTCGAGCCGTCCCGCCTCCCTTCTTTCTCGGTATTACGCTATTTTCCACGTGTAACGTGGCGTTCACGTCTTTTCCGGCCGCGCAGGAACACGCCTTCAGAAAGCTCTTTTTGAAGTTGTCCGACAGGAAAGCGTACAGGATGGGATTCATGGCGGAGTTGCTGTAGCTAAAGCAAGCCGCCACCAGGAAAACGGTGATAGTGATCCTGCTGGCGCACTCGGTGGGCGGGGAATAGATGAGCGCCACCTGGAACGCCCAGTAGGGCAGCCAGCACAGCACGTATACCGCTATCACTGTCAACACCAGCTTCGTAACTTTTCTGTGCGAGCGCTTTTTCTCCTTTGACTTATTTTTCGGGCCGACGGTTTTCAGCTTGCGGATGACGAGACAGTAGAAGACGAATATAAGAGTGAGGGGCGCGGCAAAGCCCAGCGCGAAGGAGTAGAGTGTGAAGGAGGCCTGTCCTTTGGCGAACTCGCGCTCGGGCCACACGATGTTGCAAGAAAGGCCGTTGTCGCTCTGGATCAGCGTGGTGTACATGAAGATGGGCGTCATGACGAGGGCAGAGGCGGTCCACGCGGCGGCTGAGACGAGACGAGACACAAAGGGCGTGCGCAGACGCGGCGCGGCGATGGGGTGGCACACCGCGATGTACCGGTCCGCGCTCATGATGCACAGGAAGATGCTGCTCGTGAACTGATTGATGCCGGTCGATATCATGTACGCCTTGCACATAAAGCGCCCGAACGGCCACGAGCGCACAGACATCGTTATTATGAGAAAGGGTATTCCTATGAGGAAGCACTCGTCGGCGATGGCCAGATTGACGATGTACATGTTGGTGACGGTCTGCATCTTGGAGTAGCGCAGCACGACGTAGATGACGAGGGTGTTACCCAGCAGGCCGACGACGCACACGAGCGCGTACAACACCTGCGTCACCACGTACACCACGGGTAGGTTTATATTGGGGCAGTTTTCGTAAGTGCCGTTCAATGTTGAATTCTCGTCGAAGGAGTAGTTGCTGTGGCCGTACATCTCCACTTCCTCGATCTCCATCTTGACTACGTTTTTATTTCTTCTGTTAAAGTGTATTCTTCTACTCGGTATTACCTGTAAACAAAAAGTCATTACATTTAGTACTAAATTTTTACGCATTTTTCTTACTTATTGGACATATTTGTCACTTTTCTACAGAAACGATAGTAAGGCACAGAGTTGACCTTGTACTTTTATTATTACAACTACAAATAAATAAACAGCTGCGATTCAGAAATGACAATATTGCACTTCGGCCAGCTCCTTAGAAAAAGCAAAAATATAAAATTAATATGATTGTCTTATTGCTTACATTGTACGAGTAAGTGACGACTAGCGGCGGCCAGTAGACAGCGCACACAATTTTCACGAAATTTCATAAAGAGCCATCTGAAACAATACAAACACAATTATTTTCCACTTCTAACTCATTCGCCATTTTATCACTTTTTAATGAGCAGTTGCTACCAGCAGATCAAACAAATGTTAGGTTGATAATTTGCAAGGTATCTTCGGAAGTGCTAAACGGATCTTGATAACATATGGCATACATATAGAATATAGTCAGAAAGAACACATAGGCTACTTTTTAAGTTTTTTATGAATACAGCTCGAATGGAGTTGCGGGCGACAGTTTGTACAAAGTCATTACAATTCATATTTCAATCAAAATGATTAGGAATAGCAATAATAATCATTATATTAAATAATAATGCCATTGAAATAATAATTGCAGCGAATTGTTTATCCTACAGATGTAAATATTAGTCGGAGATTGAAACAGCGATGTAAATACGTGTTACAAAATGTTATGTTGTTTCAGCGGCAACATAACAAACATGAACCTGATGAAACATTTCTTTTACGTTTACAACAATTCTTATTTATGCTAGTTATTTATTACAACAGGAATATTCGGACAAATATTACTTTCATACAACAAATAAAGTTTTTATACCTCAAACACTACTTGATGTTTCCTTGACATTGTGATAAGATGACGACAAAGCAAAAGTGGATGAGAGACAATTAAAACTAGAAGAAATACTCCACAATTGATTAAATCTCTTACTGACTATTGTTTGCAACTGTATATCTTGATTTACATTCATATACATACCAATATTATAATATCGTACATTACGATTACGAGACGATAATTAATAAAAGTTAAAAAAAAAACAAATAAAAAATAATCGTATGTTGGCGCTGGACGCAACACGGAACGAATCTCGAAGCGTACTCGTTTGTTTACACTACGATGATTGGTGATCGCCGAAATAGAACAATGTTTGGGCAGCATGGTGCGCTACTCACTCGTGTCAGGGCAACATCAATATTCTATCTCGAAACATTTTTGGTTATACGTATTACTTTAAATAAATATTTCAATCCACTTGAATCCAATTTAACGGATATAAAGATCGCTATAATATTCGGAATAATAATAAAAGTTATCTATCTCTATTAATATTTTGTGCTTCCTTTCAAACAAAGAAGATTAAAAAATCTGACCAATCTCAAGGATCTAATATTGGTTTCAACTTGTAGCGCCACAATCATCGCACAGCCGAGCCGCTTGTTACAGCATGATAAGCAATGACTTTGAAAGTGTACAAGATGAAAAGGTGTTGTCTCATTATTCAATGTTTTAATATAAAATGTACAAATGAAAAAAACTCTTTGTTAGACGCGAGAAAATTCACAAAAATGTACTTTATCTTTATTAATGTGAGTTTACAAAGGCTTATAATGGCTTTAACTTCCCTTTACCGATCGCACCTTTTTTTCATAGATACAACAAAGAGAAGCTTTGTATAGTATTATATATAATAATCATCAAATATCACAAGATCGTTTTAAACGCCTCAGCTTTTAAGCTTGGATTGAGCGAAAATGCGATAAAAATGTTTAAGCAACAAGCGGCTATTAGTAAACAATGTGCTTTACGGCCGCGTTTCATCACTACTTGTTCCTTTAAAATTTTTTATGTTTTTTAACGATCGTAATATCTAATCTTTGTTGTGCACGACTCTTCTCTTCTCTTCTCTTCTCTGTTAATTCACACCAATCCTGTATTTCTTAAGTCTCGATGTACCTATGAAGACATGATTATATTAATGATGTGATATATTGCTGGTGTTAATCTGTCTAGTCAGCAGTATCGTTGACTTAGTACTATAATAAATATTTTTATTTAAAAGTCGCTTGGTAAGAATACGCGTGTGATTTTCGACCCACTATTAATCCATTTCTGCGTATCTGCTGACAGATTGACATACGACCGAAGTTAAATTGGCAATAGACAAACAAAATCCATAATTCCGAGTGCAAACTCATTAAGGTATATAACAAAAATACGCAAGGAGATGTGTTGTTTGTTTCAACAAATATCTTAGGTGACATTAATAAATGGTCAGCGCGGCAGTGTAAACTACCTCCGCCGCCACCGGCACAATCCGAGCGCTCCTAGTATACCGGCACGCCGCGCACCCCGCGCACCCCGCGCACCCCGCGCACCCCGCGCACCCCGCGCACCCCGCGCACCCCGCGCACCCCGAGCACCCCGCGCACCCGCGCACTCCGCGCACCTTAGCGTGTTGCCTCAAAAAACCTTTGCGATTTGGCTAATTGCACGGAGGTATTGAACTTAAAGTGCTACTGACAATAAATAACAGAGTACAGTTTACACAATATAGACACAATAATATGGGCTTTTTAAATTTTTTGTGCTTTATTATTTGAGAATGTTATCATTATCTAAAAAAAGAAGTTGGTTTTATATTCGAAAAAATAGTAATGAACACCACAATATTTTAACTTTTGTTTTGGATGCGTCTTTGTGTGAAGCCTCAACGTGAGAGTAAATAACAAAATTTCCTCTTATATTAAATTAATGTCAAAGATCGCAACAAGGAAAGTGTGTTTGTTTACGTCGCTGCGCGGCCCGCTAGCGGCCCGGTCGGGCGGCTCGGGGCGGAGGTCGTTGAACTCTCACCACGCGCCTAAAAGAGTTTAAGAGAGTAAAGCAAACTTGATAATTGTGAATAGAAAAGAATGCTGTTGTGCAAACATTGTGCTTCATGTTTTTTAGTACGTATTGTATGTATTTATTCCCTCATACTTATTATAATATATTGTTTATGCCACACTGTGCCGAGATTCAGATAATAAAAGCTTTATTTGAAGATAGCTGTCGCCCGCAACTCCATCCGCGCGGAATTAAACAATAATAATAAGCAGCCTATGTGTTCTTTCAGCTGATCCGATCAGCTGTTCTTGAGATACCTTCAAACAAACATCCATCCATCCATCCATCCATCCATCTATCTTAACATTCGCATTTATAATATTTGTAAAATAATTAAAACTAATGAAATATTATAATACTGGTATATAGATCATGTCAATCACATATTTGACACGGTAACAAATAATTTATTACAGGTGTGTAACCCAAAAACAGCAGAATCCTGGAGGAGTGGAAGCTCTGAGTAAAACGGATGACCAAGCAAACCTACTGATTACGGTTGTGATCGTTTTAATGTTTTAATCTGTGCGCCTCCCGGGCCGCGCCAGGCGTCACAGCGAGCCGCCACTACGCCGCGCCGGTCGCGCCGGTCGCGATGCCGTATCTCTGCCTCGCAAGCACTTTCTGTGTACTTATATGAGCTGACCCTTTACATTTACATTTTCAACATTTATTACCATTTGTGAGTAAATTACCATACGCATTTTTTATATGTGCGTATTTTTTGGTAGAAATTAAACGAATAATGTGTGTGATATTGTAAACACCCTCATATCACCTCATAATAGTGCAGGTAAATATCTACAAATACAAAACGCTACTCTGACAACTAACTCTTACTTTATTTAAAATATCTAACATATTTTTGTTCGTAAAGAAATCAATAAGAGCGGACACGCAATGGCTAATGTCACACCACTACACCACACTATCTATCCGTCCATTAATTCAATTGTGCCATAATAGTTAACAATGTAACACTTTGTTAATGTAATTTGTTTGAAAAGCATAAATGTTTAATAAGAGTTGTTAATGTAAAAGCATTTTCCAGCGATGTATTGCTGCAATAAAGGTGTACGCCGCATGCAGAGCGACCGCGCCCGCCGCCGCCAACTTCCACCACGTACCCTATCCCACCCTATCCTACCATTCTCTGCCCTACCCTGCCTTGTCTCACATACATACAAAACCTACAACTATTAGCTACAAGGGTTATTTTTTCTTAATATTACTTGAGGAAGAATTTGCCAATTTGTAAGCGATCGCCATAACAACTGCACGAAATCACCTCCCCTCGCACCGTGCGCGCCCTGCCATCTTGCATAGTAAATTAGAATGTTTATGCCCCAACCATTCCATTACCCTGTTTGCTCAGCAGAAGGCTGCCCATGCGCCCCCAATGGCCACATTATGATCACTGACAATAAACAAACAAGTTTTTAAAATAACTATAATAATAATAAACAAATATAAGACAAGTGTATTAGAATTCCTTCGCAAGTATTCGGCTTTTCACAAGGAGACTTGGGTTTAGTAACTTGATATCTGAGTCAATTACGGTTTAGGTATATTGTAAAAGAAATATGTAACTTGCTAATATAAATAAAATGATTGTTTTCAAAACCACAAATAATTGAAGGTTGTAGAAATTTTTTTTTCCAACAATAACAGTGGGAACACGTTTAACGAATTGTTCCCAGTGATACTGATGAAAATATTTGCTCAGACAGAAGTTACTCATTTCAAAATCCTGTGTAAGTATTCAACGCGAACTTTACGAAAGTTTCATTCCATCACACATAGAAAATGTTCCCCAAACAAAATTATATTAGCTTCAATATTGTTGGAAAAAGTAGTGACGGCCGCGCTCTTGGGCTCCGGTATTGCGAGACCTGCGGACTTAGGACTTGAACCGAGCGGACGTGTGCTCGCCGTGCACTGTTATCAGTGCGAGTGCAATCGTAATCCTCGGGGATAGCCTGAAGTAGCAGGATGTAAAGCGACGCTTAGATTATCAAGCCGGAACGCACGAGGCCGATGTGGCTAATATTTACGAAAATCAGACGAAGCTTTTGGAGATTCATACACATTTTATCGTGCGATGAGTAAATAATCTGTCCGATGTCCATCTCTGAATATCAATCGGTGACGTCATAGCGTGTGAAATTCCGAAGAGCGCGCGCGTCAGCGGATTTCTGAGCGCCGCTGATTTATTCTAGACTTTCGGCTGTCGGCTGTCGGTAGGCGGCCGCTCAACAAATTAATGAAGATTTATTCCAGTGGCTCAAAATAACTAAGCAAACCAAGAAGTATTACATTACCTTACCGCGTGAAATTATGAAGATAATATAAATAGTAA